ACGTCTGCATTTATTCGCACCTTATCTGCGTTTTTCTCATCTATTGTGGTGGGCGTTACCGCCCGTACACTTTGGACATGACATAAAATAAAGAGATCCTAGAAGGACCATCATCTGTACTTTCAGTCGATTTTGAGTTAATGCTTTTTGGAATATCTGGAACATGGTCAGATTGCAGTTATATAGTGGTAAATGTTCACAATACACCCACGCTCCAAATATAGGAATTTTGCATGATTAGATCTAGTAGGAAAGGAGTTACGACTGGGAAGTACGGCAGAGGAACCATTTTACCGAAGACTTTCGAGCGCTACTGTATGTATGTGAGGATGTCCAGGAAGTTTTGAGAGAATTCTTCAAAAAGTCGAATGTTCTTCCTGATGTCATTATTTTTCGAGAGCTCACAAAGCCTCGTGAAATGCCCTCACTTTCCCAGACCATCTGCCTCTTCTGGTCACTGGTCCAACGGATCCAACAAATTTTAGTAGAATAAGGAGACAAAATCTGGACCAGCAAGAGCTGCAGCAAGGAAGATGTGCAATCATTTCACCGACATAAGTTTATAAGTCCACATCAGTTCTGTGAACAATGCAGACTTACATGTGATTCACAATTTGTTGTGATGTTTTTCTTCAAAAAGCGAGGTGGATTGCTGCTAATTGCTTATGGAACGCCACATGTTATCATAAATANATATTTTTGATTGTAGCTAAACAGGAAGGAAAACGTAATGTATCTGGAACGGGCATCATGTATCAGGATTTCTGAATCCTCATTTCCTTATTAGTGATCAGTTGTATTGATATCAGACAGCTCCACTAGCTTACACCGGGCCTCCTCATTTCCTCGGCTGGATAGGAATCTAACAAGCTCCTTTCAATGCGATTGGATCAGCATTTCTACCACAGAAATTTTGCAGTTCAAGAAGATATTTCAAGACTCCTCTCTTTCCGAGAGGAACCCTTCCCTCTGAGGCTTCTTGTTTTTATTTACAATTACGGTGAAAAGTAATGGAAAAACAGTTATAGCCTCGTAAGCGCTCTGTCAACATTTGTAAGCTGTCACTACTTCCTTTCCTCTTCACCTCATCATAAACCTATTTTATTTCAACCATCACAGGGAAGAGTCAAGAGCTCCACCGTTAATACAAGGTGGCTCACACCTTCTGACACCCTTCATCGGTGTCCCTACTACTGTGAAGGAATCAGTGAATTGCGCCACTAGTCACTACACTACCAGGTAAGGGACAGAGGTAGTGTAGTGGCTAGTGGCGCATTATTGCGAAGAAATAGTCCGCGTTCTGAATCCTGGCAAGACATCTCCTAAATTAACTAAGATTTCCATTCCTCCGGGGTCAGCAAGTTGATGCTAGACTCGTCTGGGATGATGAAAGCACTAGTCTACATGACTGGCAACCGAAATTCATTGTAAGGACCATACACGCATTAAGAACCTCACTACGATTCTAATAAATGGAAGTGGAGTGCTTGGACGCAACTTAAAAACGGGATTCATAAATGCCGAAGACTTCATGCTTTACGTTCAAAGCAGGCAAGCTATCGAGAACATTCAAATGAGCTCCTGAACAATCCGGAGTATCTTCTCTGTCAGAAGGGCAGACGAAGTCTGAATATAAAAACAGAAGTTTTGTATTGAAGAGTTATTCGTCGAAACCGAAGCTTTGAGCACAAATGTGCTCCGTTCTCTCTCTTTCTTTCAAAGAATGAAGATAGAGGCGATAATTTGTAGCAGGTAAAAAAGTATCAGGCTTGGGTTTGAATGGAACGCAGGATTTTTTTTCATCCAGCGTTCTTCGGGCACATTTCACTCGTTGCCACCCTACACCTGCAACGGTGATCACACTCACCATTCTTTCCCTCGTCATTCAAGTTCATGAGCCTGTAAATGTAACAGAAATGCACGACGGGGACTGTGATTTTCTAGGCGGAATCTCTTGTTAGATACGCTAACAACATAAAATTCATTGAAAAAATCAGAAAAATCGATTCCGAAATAGTTGTTCAATATCTGTCTGCTTTCCACATTCTTATGTTAAATACACAATACTGGAGTAGTCGAGTCAAGACCGACTTGATGTCTTCTTCTGCACAGAAGATTGATGAAGGTGGAATGCCAACCATAACGTCGTTTATCCAGAAGTGCTGTAAATAATAAGGTAAACTCTTGGAAAGGATTTTCTCCAAGGTGTTTAATGAGGGAGCACCATGCAGCGCCTCCACAAACATATTGAATCAAAGGGAACTGCATATTGCTCCTGGTGCGCGTTTTTCGATATATGGTACCATTCTTTTCGAGAGATTCCTAAAGTGAGGAGCAAACAAATAGACCTGCATAGTCTCCCAAGCGTCCAATTTTTTGTTATTAGTAGTGATAGCAAATCCTTTTACAAGTTGTTGTGAGCAAGATATCGCTGTACTGATGAAGGTGAGTAAGCCGAACATGAATAGGCGTCAGTCGCGAAGGCCCCTATGGGCTCATAGTTTAGGCCTACACTATCAATTCCCCAGTAGATCTGGGAGCAGACTTCTTCTTTGACCTGGCTCAGTAACAGAACAAGTGTTTGAACAATCCAACCTTTTCTTTGTAATCATGTTTTGGAGCACCATTCCTTTTTGCTACTCTATGCCATTCCACAAGTAATTTTCCGTACAGGGAAGCACATACAATAAGGTAAACCACAGACACTCATGTATAAATGCACCTGTTAGCCTGTAACTCTGTTTATCATTCACTCTGTGATTACTATTTGTTGTCTTTAATTGTTGTTGACAGGTTTTCTATGATTCTTTCAGATTCTGAAGACAATACTCCTGCCAAAAAATAAGCTCAGTAAAGGTTTCTTACCAACCTAATGAAGAGTTTAAGCAAACTTCGGCAAACCACATTCATTCGGAGGTCCCCAAAAGCACACCTAGAGTCTAGTTCGGGAAGGCGTAGTTGTCAAATTTGGGCAGTAATACGTATTCAATACATCCTCGAAGCCGGCTGTGGCTGAGAGCGGACACAAAGAGTTTAAAACGCCATAACAAAATAGTCTCTTCCGATCCACAAATGCAATTGCCTGAGTGGAGGATGTGTGGAGACAATGACTCTGTCCCTCACGCATGGTCTAGAGACCAAATCTCGCTGACGGTCTAGGAGGACCAAGATTTTCACTGGGTTCGTTAATTGGTACCACGCTTTTAAGGGAAAAGAAAGGCACTAACTCGTGTCTTCGCCGGGCATTGCAACTCATAGTATAGGCCCTATACACATCAATACACCATACGATCCTGAATGGAGGGCACGACTCTGAATGGATGTCGAATGCGGGGACGCTTCCCAAAAAGGACTTTGGGTCGGCGATTTAACCTTTGTCCTTAATATGTAAGCGCTTAACCTACGATTCTTCCGGAAAACCTACAATATTAGCGCGTTTTCAGGCCTTCAAATGTGACGGATCCATCGGTATTTTTGACATATAACAGTTTCGCTCCAATAAGGCGTACAAAGGTGCAACGGCTAAGAGATATTGAACAGATATAGCAATGGCGATGTTTGGTCGAGTCCAAATCTAAAACAGCTCTGACCAGTAAACAGTTTATATGCAGACCGTCTGAAAAGCTTTAGAAAACTCTTCCGAGACGGAACTAACCTCATGATATCTTAACACGAGGCAAACTGCAGAGTAAAGATTGAATGCCAACAACATGTTACCAATCGAATGTGCAAGGTTCGTCGAACTTCTGACCATCATGCAAACCAAGACGGCATGTTGGAATGCCTCGCTCAGCCCAAGTTCACGATTGAGCCGAAGAAAAAGGTTTGCAAGAAATGACACCAAGTCAGCAATGCCTAAGTTGATGCAGTCAACATCATACGATTTGCATTGTTGTTTGAAATTATTCAATAATAGCATCTTCACCCTTGCTCACATGCGGGTAAACCTGACATGCCCATAAAGAGAGAAGCTCTTATACACACTCTTTGTCTGGGGATCGATTCCTGGATCGACAATTTTGCAAAGGCCCTTCCTCATGCACGCATGCACGTACGCATACACGCACGCATATACGCACACACACACAACACACAACACACACACACACANACACACACACACACAGACAAACAAACCAACAGACACACTTAGCGCGTTATATATTGTAGGATTGCCTGCATGCCTGCAGTTTGCGAGGTTTCAAGCTGAAGTTCCAACTCGAGAGTCTTCACGGACAGACCTTTCTTGGCTACTTGTAGACTTTGCTTTCTAAGCACAACGGTGGTTGTGTTCGACAAGGGGGTTGTATTCTTGATCAAAGTTGTTAATAGTGATTTCTTTGGAATCTTCCCATAAGAAAGCGAGGCGACCTAAAATTTTGACAGTTCTGAGACTTCGCGTTCAAACTTCGCAGCTCTCTGATAAGAAAAGAGTGAGAATTTACCGTGAGAAGGCGGTGGTTCAGTCCCGTCCAAAACTTTGAAACAACAGCGACAGGTCCCCTTCACGGTCGCCATTTATAATCATTTCTACTCAAAACACCAAGATGACCCAATTTCTTACGGATTTCTATGCATAAAACAATTCATGCGTAGATACCAAAACAAATTGCTAGGCAGAGTGAGCCATTTCTTAATGAAATTATTGGAAATATGTCACAGTAAATGAGTGTAACGACAACAGAGATGAAGAACTTTTTATTAATAACCAAGGTAAGAAAACACTTGCATATTAAAGAGTCAAACAAGACAATTAAAGCTGTGAAAGCAAAAAATCGGCAGATGCGAGTAAAACGAAACAGGACTAAGACATTTTCCTTGGCATGAGAAAAAGATGAATAATTCAAAGCCAAAAGGTTTCAGTTAACGAGGTCAAACCCAGAGGCAAGTCGGCGAAAACAAAAGATTTGTGTAAAAAAGAGCAGATTTCTTTCACAAACTAAGCTTCATTCGCAGATACCTATAATTAGCTACCGCTACGACAAAAATCAACACAATAATCAGATTTTCTTTTGGTACTCGATAGCTGTTTTGTAGTAACGTTCTACACAGTATTCTTCCATGAAATTGATTGCAAATACACTCATGTATTTGTTGTCGGCTGACCTCGAAGTTTTGATAACGAAAAACGGTGAACGATAGAGAATATTATGAAAGGAAAGCAAGAAGTAACTGAGGCTTAGAAGTCCCTCTCGTTGATAGATGATGTTCACCTTAACAATTTAGGTCTTTTTTCGAAAGATAGGACTCAGGAAGTTATAACTTCACACTGGGAACAGGAATCAATTGTTTTAGCTCTGGTAACCTTGAATAAAAAGATTCAGAGCTAATCGAAGTTTGAGGTCTCCTCTGTCATCTTCTCCTGCCTTTTACTAGGTTCGTTGCACCGGAGTAGGAGCCATATTTAAAAGTTGGCAGAGACCCATACTACAACGCTTGGATGTTTTTCTTAATGGCTCTATTTTTATCTCTTTTCATCTCCTCGTCTATTTATCCATTGTACGCCTAATTGATCACATGAATTATCTATTCTATGTATAGTATAATATTATGTATTAAAACCTAATATTATTGATTTTATAATCTGTTATTGACAAATTGAATCACCTGGCAAAATCGTGTTGCAATGCTATTGTAGAAAACGTTACGAAGCAGTTCAGAGAATTCTTTGTTGTGATCCGTAGGCCCAATGATAATGTTGTCAACATTGAAAATGCCAAACTTCAATACAAGTAATGTGCGAAGGTCGGTGGTGATGGTTCCGCCTTAAATAGTGGATTGATCATAAGGATAGATTAGAAATTAGTTGGTTGAATGATGGATTACTGGGGAAATGTTCTATAATTTTCGGAAAATTCAGTCAATATCGGGCAAATGAACGGCGGTTTCGACAATCATGGTTAATATTGCATTTGAAAATTCGAATAGAAACAGTTCCATGCAGCCATCATCACGCAGCTTCTTCAAATTCCATTTATGGCCCAATGCGAAGGTAAAGCATATGGTACACACGCCCAGGTAGACGTCTGTACTTTTTAGGAACAAAATTCCGTCTTTGGCAAGGCAATCCTGGGCCTCAATATGGTTCCACCTATTTCTAGTACTCGGAGTGATTGGGCAGATATGGAGGAAATTAGTAATAGTAATTTTGGCAGAAGGCCAAAATCCGTTGGAGAAAACATTAGTTTGGTGTATAAGTCTTGCGGAATATGCGAATTTCTGTTTGAAGATTTACTATCCAATAGCGAATAGACGTTAGTACACAGTATGTTCACTATTGTTTTCTATTACTTGTGCCTTATGCTAGGGCAATTCCTCGATGCTGTTCTCCCAAACATGCGTGGGCTGTTAGGATTAGGATGTTAGGATCGAGAGAAGCCTCTTATGTTAGGAATGACTTCATAGACTAAGGGCGGCCCGCTGGTTTGATTACTTGCTTTCAAGGCTTCTTCGCTGTGGTGGATATCATTACAGTTTCTAAAGGTTAATTTGTCCTCTCAGTCCCCCCATGGTGAATGGTTTATTTGCAGCCCAAGCATTAAACTAGTGAAGAGCACACCATGAGAAAGAGGAATGGAAATGAAACAGTCTAATGCTAAAACATTTGAGACGTCTCCATGGGTCGAACAGTCCACACGTGAGTACTTCACTTAGTTCTTACTATACAAAAGTAGTTTTCTCTGAGATAATTTGTGGCATTCACGAAATGCATCGAGGACTATTGGCAATTTTACTCACTTTTCCAGTATGCGTAGGACTTCGGTTCGCCTGTCTCGTTTTTCGGCCTCCCTAAAAATTTTACAGCAGTATGAAATAAATACTTCTGAGATTACCAAGAAAAAGTACTCTAATAGGAAGTAATCAAGGTATTTAATAAAGATTTATTCTCTTTGATTTAAGAGAAGTTGAACGTAGGGTTTCGTTTTCTTGTACGAGCATTCATCGCACGGTGATGTGCAGCGAGATATTCTGAGTTCCATCGCCTCAGTGACTATAAAAATTACAGCAAACTAGCGCAATTCCACTTGTGGAGCACCTACGACTTTGTGAAATCTCCCACGAAGCAGTGGGAAGCAGCCAATGGGCAATCAGGAGCAGGCACAAAAATACGATGCTGTCGGCTTACAGGATACAAATACTCTTTTCAGATTGACCTTAACTCATAACCATTTGTTTTTCGGCTTTCAGGCTCTGAAGAAGGCGAAGAGGCCGAAACGTAAGCTGTATAAAGTTGTGAATCTCGGAAATGCTCAAAACAGCTCAAGAGATCATAACTGTTTTTAGCTATCAGTATACCTGCTGAGAACACAGAAAAGCGTCCAAATGGCATCGCAAAGTGATCTGACCTTTGTCAAACCGTTTCGCTTGCGAAAAATGAGGATGTGGGCTTATTAGGGTTTATTCGTCCTCCTTAGCGTGAAACGAGAGTCGCTATCAGTCTGTTTCTTATAAACAATAAACATCGTCTTCGTCAAGTTCAATTTCAAGCTGATCTTTCTACAAGCGCTCGGCATGTAGAGAAATTGGACTCGGCCAGCATTAGTTCCGCCTGCTCGATGTTCTTTATTATAAGCACGATATCAGCTGTAAAGTGATGATGTGAATAGTGACCGTCGACCTTCACCTCCTATGCTTTAATGTCCAAATGAAACGTGTTGTTTTCGAGAGGCACTGAAAAGTTTGGGATAGATGGTGTCTCACTGCCGTTCCCCTCTATTCACGTTTACAATGACACCCTTTTAAAATAGTGAAATTCTGGTCGCGAGATGTATTAGAAATTAGGAAGCATCCACCCCGTCACCGCTTTCGTCTCAAAGGTCACCCTCTCCAAGTCGATGAACCTCGAACATAACGGCATCTCGTACTCTCGCGATACTTCACTGAGACTCGTAACAGTGTGGATGTGAGCGGTTGTACCGAACCCTATCCAAGAACTTACAACAGATGTAGGGCACTGTGATTGTAGGGTGTGGGACAGTAGGAAAGAAATTGTCGCGTCTCGGCGAGAGAGACACAGAGCGCGAAGGAATGTAGCAAAATGCAGCAGCAAGTCAGAAATACAGGAACAAAAGAGCTAACAATATGTAGAATCATGCCAAAAGTAATAATCGCATAGCGAATGAGC